TAGTGACCTTGGATTTGATTTTAAACGTTATTTTCAAGGTCATTTCAAGTTCAAATTGTTTTCTTTTAATGGGAACCACTATTTTTGGAGCTCTGTGAACCTCTAGAGGATGCAGAATAAAATATATATATATATACAATATACATTTTATTATATATATATATGTATATTGTTAAGGTTATATGAAATTTGTGTGGGAGCAAATCTGTTGTATATCACTATTCTCTTTATTTATGTATATATATACAGGGTGTCCTAAAAATGTTGGAGGTCCTTGAAGGACGTTGTTCGGGAAGTGATTTGAAACAACTTTTTCCTTAACGGAAATGTCGTCCGAGGCTTCGTTATGGAGATATTAACTGAAAACGCCGGGCCAATCAGAGCGCGAGTATACCAACGGAGGGCGGTCGCCCAGCGCATAGCGCACGCCTACCGCGGGCGCTCCACTGGCATCCTCGCGCTCTGATTGGTCAGTGTTTTCCGTTAATATCTCCTCAACGAAGCCTCGGACAACATTTTCGCTAAGGAGAAAGTTGTTTCAAATCACCTCTACTTTGTATATACAGGGTGTCCCAAAAATGTTGTAACACCTTGAAAAAGGTGGTTCGGGAGGTGATTTGAAACAACTTTTTCCTTAGCGAAAATGTTGTCCGAGGCTTCGTTGAGAAGATATTAACGGAAAACACTGACCAATCAGCGGGCGCTTTATTAGCATACTCGCGCTCTGATTGGTCGACGTTTTCCGTTAATATCTCCTCAACGAAGCCTCGGACAACATTTTCGCAAAGGAAAAAGTTGTTTCAAATCACCTCCCGAACCACCCCTTCCAAGGTATCACAACATTTTTGGGACACCCTATATAAATATATACACACAATATAAGCAAATGAGAAACAAATATTATCACATACGTATAATATTATCTTACGTTACTGTTTCTAAATTTTGATAATACTTCAGTGTTCAAGATATCATTATTTAGAGAGAATAAAATACGAAAATGTGGAAGTGTCAGAACAGAGACTAGAAATAAGGAAAACTATTCAATTTCACGTAGTCACATAGAGATGCTCTGGAAGAAATGGAATAAGAAAGAAATAGGTGCTTCTATGCTCAAAAATGATTAAAAAATGTGTAATAATGGGTTTTCAAAAAAATTCACTGGGTACAAGCATTCATTTTGACCAAGTGCGCGTTTGATGAAATTTGAATTGACATATTTCACTATAAATATCTATCACGTTTAATAATGACGCGTGGAACCGATAATTTGTAACCAGAAATACGGTTTGATTATAATTCATTTTATATAAACACGATAGGTATGTACCGAGAGATTCAAGGGAGAAAGCTTCTGTCGTATAACAATAAATAAAAAGTAACAATTCATTCTTATGTATAGAATCATATTCAAGCAAAACAAAATAATTCAAACAAAAATTGCCTAAAATTTCTAACAAAAGTTTCGTAAAGCAATTGAAATAAGTATTACCTGTAAATAAAACCATGATATAAAAATGAGTCTTGGATTACATCGTAAAGAAAGAAACAAAAATATTTTTGATTGCAGAAGAGAAGGAATTAAAATTTTTATATGTTTACTTAAAATTCCCTGTTTCTAAATTGTACCCCAAATCATTCGGTACCTTCTATAAATACGTGAAATTATATTTCAATCTCACACAAACATATGGAATAGTCATTTGCGATATTGAAATAGAAAATTGTAATTTCCTGTGACATAATTTCCTCGTTGACCTGTATTAATCAAACACACTTCCATTAGCAACTATTGTGCTCTCCTAAAATACCAAAATCCTTGTTTAAAAATCGTATGCAATGCATAGTTAAATATTGCATTCGAACAGAAATGTAAAATAATTTTTAATAATTTTTCCACTGCGAGCAGTAATATAAAGTTCACGTTATGATTTTTTTAATTTTCTCGTGGAATGTTATGTGGAATACTAGTTCCAAATAGCAAATAAAATACACACGAACTTTGATTCAGTTACTTGCTTAATTAAAATTTAAATCTAGAATATAAAATAAAATTCTAAATTTCTAAATAAAATTCTTTATCTAACGTAGAAGAAACGTAATAAGAAAGATTAATTTAATAACTGTCTAATGCAATAGTGCGTTTCAGTGTTTTCCACTTTTAAATTAAACGAAGATTATTTATTGTTAGTTTAATAAAATAAAAATATCGAAAGTATTTCACTAGTTTTATTTGTCTGTTATTTCAGTAAAATTTGTTCTATTTTTAATGAGCACCAAAAATACATCAAAGTCCCGAGTCCTGCTATCAACATTTCATATAGTAATTAAGGGGATCCGTAACGTCAAAAAACTTCAGAGAACTATAAACGAATTTCATATTTTTCGTGTTGCTGGAAAACGAAAAAGCGAGAGATAATTTCCCATTAAAAAAATATTAGCCGTGAGGAACTTTATGCCGAACGAGTTGCAGACGATGCATTTTGTGTTATTTGAAGTATAACGTAATTTTTAATGGGCAACCCTGTGTATCCCAAGGGCAATGGAGGGATTAAAATGATCACGTCGTAAATTACGCTCGCCACCATCCCCAACAGCGGACTTTCCAGACGCTGCCCCTTCGTTTCGTCGGCCACTGAACTCCAGCTTCTGTGTGTAAGGGTATTTATTTCGAGGTTCAGCGAAAACTGTCAAAATTCAAAGACAACCGACAACATATCACAGACAAAATGAAGATAGAAGATACAAAATGAATGACTAATCAATAAATTACTAACCCAAGCATAACTGACAACTATAAAACGTATAAACGTACCTAGTGATTTCAAATATTAACATTCATCCAACATTCACATTACAAAACATTACATGTGTAACTTGGGCTACCTAACATTTCCTGAGAAATTTTATATTATAATAGTCAATACAGGTATATCTGGGGCATTCCGTGCCAAATCGGACGGTTTAAAAATATTTTATTTTTTATTTTATTAATTTTTTAGTATTTTTTAGTGCCATTCAAAAGAGGATTTCTGGTAAATTTTGAGATTTTATTAATCACTGGTTCAAACAATATTGAATTTTCAAAAAGACCGCTCTTTTTTGGTTTTATGTTCATAACTTCCTTAATAATGGCCGAGAAATTCAATTGCTTTTTCCTTCAAAATTTTCGTTTTTAGATGGCCTTTACAGAAAAAAATACACAAAAATATTTAAAGTGTTTTAGCCGCAAACTTCGAATCTGATATCAGAATTGGAAAATTCAATATGTCGGATCCAATATGGGCGACATGTACATTGAAAAGTTATTAGATTTTCATGATCGGATGATATCGGAATTCCAAAATTCCAAGCTGCAAACTTTCAA